TGGGGCAAGTTGTTGCATGAGTACTTTCTGGTTGTGTTATCTTGTTTTGCTGCCTGAAACAGTTTCATAAAATCTGAGTTCAAACAGTGTTCTGGAGCAAATCAGTTTGTTTCACACCTGTAGAAAATTATTGTGGCAAAAAGCAATGAGAGATCATACAGGGAGAGTGATATTTATTCATGACATCGCCAAATAAGTTACCCGGTTATGCTGATTCTCTCATATATTTCATTCACTCTTCATTCCCCCATCTCGTCACAAGCCCCAGGATGCATGTGCTGAGGTGTGTAACACAAAGGACACAGGACGTCGAAACCTTATCACATCTCTTGGCATTTTCTTGATTGACAACCATGGACTAATTTTTGGACAGATGATTTATACCCTCTAGGAGTCCACTGTTGTTATGGGGTGGTCCTTTACATTGAATATTTCTTTCTTCAGTCTATAAGGCTTAGACAAGGCTCATTGTTTGTCTTCATTTAGTAAACACACGTCTTTATCGCTATGATCTGCTTTCCTGTTGGGTTTATGGGCAAGAGAATGGCATATGTCACATGCTGTAATCTTGCTGCCAACATCCCACTGTTACAGTACAGGGTCTTCTGCTGACAAGACACCTGTGCTGTGGTCTTAACAGAGTCCAGACATTCTGTCCAGGCTTGACAGAAATGACTCGTTTTCAGTTTTATTGCTGGGAAAGTTCTGTATTGTCAATACACATAATTTCTCTAACCTTTGCTCTTTCTTCTAGTGCTTACATGCACATTTCCATTTGTATTTCATTTGTTTCTAGCCTAATATTTCTGTTATGAGTCCTATGCATTTTGTGGCTTCATCAAGATACTCTATGTTCAACAGGTCACTTTGTCAGCGGTTAAGGCATACTGTAGTAAAGCCAGAAATCCAGCAATTAGGAATAATGCATTTTATGTCTCTAGAGCACACTGTTTTGGTTAACAACCTGCAAATCACACACTTCTTAATTACATTGTAAGGTTACGACTTAAATGTTACTTTCTTTGGCTTCCCCATTATTTGGAGGTTCCCATCTAGGACTGTGAAACTCACATTGGATTTACCCTCTCAAATCCTCATTCTGTTTGCTGGCTTAAAATAAACTTGGTTCTCTGTGTAGGATAGTAGCAAAATGCAACATCCCATTTGGGTTATGAGTAAGAGTTTCATTTAACTTCACTTCTTATTAGAAAGCTGACATTATCTAGCTGCAGTTGATCTTTTAGGCTCCCTCTTTGGTTACTGGAAAGTGATGTGCCCACAGTGTGATTCATCCCATGTGTCTTAAACAATGATTTTATTATTATCACATAGAGGCATCTGTTGCTGGACTAATCATAGGCAGAGCCTCCATGCCTACTTTTTACCAGAGAATTAGTTATAACATACTTTTTTACTAATATAGTGATGCATTTAAAATGTGTAGCTGGTGCAGCAAATAATGCAAAATACATGTAAATAGTCACTGGTTACCTTTTTCTGAAATAGCTATGATTAAGACTTTTGAATTGTTTTGGCTGCAACGTCTTTTTCTTTATGGCTTCATTACCTTTTCAAATATTTTAATATTTTGTTTAGTCATAATCCAGGGAAAAGATATGAATAAGTATCCTTGATTATTGTTAATATCAGCACTTTTTCTGCAGCATCCAGTTTTGATGGAATAGCTCCTTCCCCTGTCCCTTTTCCTCTTTGTGATAATAGTGATGTCTCCTGTCTCATTCCACTATTATACATGTTAATATCCACAGGATCAGTGATCAGCATTTGTGGAACCCAAAGGCAGATGAATTTTACAAAAACTTATCCAGTGAAAATGGAAGGAAATAGAGTTTGATTAATCTTCCCTAGTTTACACACTGACCCAATCTTATATGTGCCTGTTCTCTTCAGTGTCTTTGAATGAAGCTGAGTTTGACTTAGATGTACACCAGTATTGAATCCAGTTCTCTTTCCTTTTTCCTCTTGGGGTAGTCTTGTCTTCTTCATAGAACCATAGAATCATGGAATGGTTTGGCTTGGAAGGGACCTTAAAGACCATCTGGTTCCAACCCCCCTGCCATGGGCACGGACACCTTCCACTAGACCAGGTTGCTCAAAGCCCCATCCAACCTGGCCTTGAACACTGCCAGGGATGGGGCAGCCACCACCAATCTGGGCAACCTGTTCCAGTGCCTCACCACCCTCACAGTGAAGAATTTCTTTCTTATCTCCATTCTAAATCTATCCTCCATCTAATTCCTGTTGTGAGGAAACAGGGTGCTCTGTCCAGGCTGAGGTGGTGGTGTAAAGCAGATTGCACATTAGCAAAATAGGAAGTGAGAGGGAGGGCGATCCTCAAAGTTACTGCTGATCTTCTATGTTCTGATGGCAATGTTTTCCTAACCACAAGAGTCAGTAAGAAAAAGGTTCTGCAATTAAATATGGTATTTTATTTTGATTTTTTTAAAATTCAGTGGAGCAATGAAAAAGACCAAGTTTAGAAAACGTCTTGCTCCCTGTGTTCTCAAATGTTTGAATGATTCTCTGCTTTTAAAATAGAGTAAGAATCTGGTATGAGACTAACCTGATGTAGCTAGTGACAAGAGGAATCCATACCAGGGATGCACAAACCTTTCTGAGGTCTTAAAACAAAACAGAAACCTTCAGTCTTAATGGAGATGAGATTTTAACTGAGGCCGTGAACTATTATGGCACTGATCTTCCCACCCACATCTTCCCACATCCAGCCCCCAGCCTTTCAGAAACCAGGAGTGTGATTCATCTCATCTCTTTCAGATGTCTCTTTGAGATGAGATGAATCATGCTTTAAAAGCCCTTAATGAATTTTCATTGATTATAAAGGTAGCATAAATGATTAGCATGCTTGTCTGATGTCATTTGGCCATATGAATCCTACCCAAAAGTTTTCCTGTATTATACTTTCCTAGTGCCCTAGCAATTAGCAAAAGTCATTTAACTAAAATTAAATGGGCCAGTGTACCATTCACCATTCTTCCCAAGAAGAAATCTCTTTTAAGAAGGCAAGTGTGATTAGGCAATGAAACTAAATCATTATCGATAGGAAAGACATGGAAAATCTCTCTCTTCCTCAGTTGTCTCTCCTACCCACTCTCATCATCATTCTGGAATACTCTCAGATCTTCACTTTACTGGTAGAAGCATGCGCAGATGTTTTGGGGGGTCAAAAGGATGATAATTATGTCACCAAGGAACATTATTCAATCATTGTTCCTTGTCCACAACTAATGTTTTAAAGAAAATTTCTATTCTTGATGTTTTCTTAGAATATCTTTTTGTTTCTTTGTTAGTAGGCCCAGGGTAATGAACAAATTCTTCCATGCTGAAGAAGTCATAATCTTTTTATTCTTGTAGTTGTCCTGGCAGTAGCGCATAAATAGTAACAGTGATCACCAGCTGTAGCTGGAAATTAAATAAAGCTTTATTTTAATTATCCCATAGTTCTGAATTAACTTCATGTGTATTGTTAATAGTCATCTTAATTAATTAAGTAGTGTTTCAATTTGAGATATAAATTCAGAGGGTTCTTTTTGTAATTTACTGTTTTGGCACTATCCATTAAGTAGTCCATTATGTTATCTGACCTCACGTCTTTTTTTAAGCTAAAATAATAATCAAATGAAAATAATGTGAGAAAAAAAATAAAAAATATTTAATTCTCGCAAAAACCCCTTATCTCTGTGCTCATATAGCTGCTGAAAAAGCCTGCATGTATTAAATATACCCTCCCTTAAGTTTTATTGCCCAAGCAGCCAGGCTGGTGAGTTTGCGATAAAATGCCAAATTCTAGGCAACTCATTTTTTACTGTTGCATTTTACTGCTCAGGCTGCAGCTATTACTAACATGTTTGTTTAAGAACGACTGAACAGCATAGATTTCATAGATAAAACTAGTGATTATTCTCTAAATAGATGTAACTATTTTTTCTGTGCAGCTAAAAGAGAAATGCCTGGTTGAAGCAATAATCTAAGCAGGTTATTGTCAGTAACAGTTTATTTGTTCAGCTGGAAGTTCCCATTAGCTATATGAACTATGAAAAATTAGCTGTGTGAAGTAGATTTTTATGGAAATAAAGCACAGTAGTTTCTGTCTGTTCTCTGATTGAGAGATAAAAATGTTATTATAAATGAAAGCAATGATTTGTCTGTTTATGCAATGTGTCAGAGGATAGGAAAAGTAGGAAAAGGGTAAACCTGTCTTTTTTTTCTCCCCCCCAACATCTATTTATTTTGCCTTCCTTTTCCTGAATCATATCGGCATGTATTATTGACATTGTTCCAAAGTTTGGCTCTTTGGGTGTTTATCTAGGAATTTCACAGATCACTGAACAGAAGTTGTATACGGACTATTGCTTTCTTATTTTATGTATCCATAGCCAAAGATATTTGTGTCCTAGAAAAATACACGAAGCAGATTTAAATCCAAATGTCTACACCGTTTATCTTTCACTTTCACAGACGCTTCACTGTGGTATGGCAGAAGCTTGCAAAATCCGCAGTACGCCTCTCCCAAGTATTTTTCAAATTGTGTGGACAATCAGAACACCTTTAATTTTGTTCTGATAGACGGTGATGTATTTTATGCCAATATTTAACAAAATAAACTCCAAGCTTCAGAGTTTTATAACTAGTCATGGCAAGTTGTGCCGTAACTTCTTGACATAGGCTGCACTGGCCCCTGGCGAGGACAAGCCATGGGTATAGAATAATCACTGATTCGATTCTTTTTCTCTCTACCTTCCTATAATTGTACATGACAAAGAATTTCCTTAATTTATTTCTGTTCCTGACCTTCCAGGGAAAGTGAAAGAGTATTGACCCCACAAATAGATCTTATGTTATTTGTATTTCTGTAAAAAATACTGTAATTGTACAGCAGATTAAATATATGCTACTCTTGCACTCTTTTTTAAATATTATATGTTGTATTGCTAATGTTTTATTTTCCATTTCTTCTCCAGGTCTGGGATTCAGTATTGCAGGAGGGGTTGGAAACCAACACATCCCGGGGGACAACAGCATTTATGTCACCAAGATTATTGACGGAGGAGCTGCGCAAAAAGATGGGAGGTTGCAGGTTGGAGATAGACTTCTTATGGTAAGTATGACAAATCACATTTTATTTGGCTGAAAATTGTTTCATATAAGGACTTTCATTCACCATATATCTTACTAGAGGTAACTACTACAACTTCTATAATAATTTTGAGTTATATTTCTGTCATCTTCATTTTTTCCCATTCTTTATATATCCTCTGAGCCTGCAGTTAAGAAAGCATTACTCTGGAAAACCAACATTTTATAAAGAGAAAGCAATGGGTTATATTACTTTGACAAACTTTTAACTGAGAAGAGAATAAACATATTATGCACATCAGCAACAAGTCAAAATGCACCAGAAAACTTTAAAAGATTTTAGACTAACCGTTCATTACAGCAGTACTGATTCTACTGATCATTTTAAGAGAATTGAAAGATGTGAAAACATGCTGCTAAACTCTCACATGTAGCCACTGTCAGTGGACTGTTACCTACATTTCAGTACATGTAGGAATGCTTTATGTGTATGTGCCATGTGGATGTTAAAAAAAACCCAAACTTTTTCCATCTTTTTCCTTGAGGAAATGTACTTACTCTTCTGATGGATCTCACGTCAGAAATTCTTCCTGATGTTTGCAGTGCTGGTACATTGTTCCTTGTAGATAGTTCTTTCCCACTCACAGAGTTTGTTTAATTCTTTGTGAGGGGGAAATCCTGACCCTGGTGAATCAGCAGAAGTTAATCTATGTCAAGTTATATTCATGTCAAAGCACTGAGCAGGTAGAGAAATATTTTTTTAATAAGTGCCATGAAAAAAATGTACTGCAGTAGCTCTGTTTTGTGATGTGATATCTAAGCAGTAAAAAATTGCCATGACCTTTTTTTGCTGCCTGCAAAACTGTGCCTGATTGCGGTTTTCTTTATTTGGCTAGGGACACTGTGTTCCAGTCACATGTAAAGATGACCATTCGTTTTATACAGGGTATTAAACAGAACTGGAAAGGCACTTGGTTGCTGGGTTAGTGACTCTGACTTTTTTTAATTAACCCAAGTGGATAGATAAAACAGCTTAAGGATCAAATGGTGTTATCAAGATCAAAGCAAAATGAAACTAGAATTTACAATTTCTTTGGCATTTCTACTTCGCGGGCTCTCAGCACAGTAAAATTCAAGTCCCTGTTGTATAATGAAGTTTTGGCTCATTTTTCTATAGAAATGTGTATTTGTATTTGCCAAATTTGCACCTTATTTTGTTATTTTGCACCTTGCAGCAAATCCGCTTGTGTTCAGTCTTTTTCATTGTGAGAATTCCTCACAGTTTTTGTATCATCTGTATTTTTTTGTTACCTTACTCTTAATTTCTTCCAACTCACTTGAGGTAATAACACAGACAAAAAAACAGGTGCAAAAACCCCACATTCATCATCTCCAGTGTAATTTAATCAGGATGACTTTGAATAGAAAAATAATTATTTTATACACCACTAGGTATAAATTCATTCTTTCCAGATTTTTATAGGATTTGTCTATTAAGCATCTCTTCTCAGCCTTGAACCTGTGATACACTGCAGTCAGATATAGATGTTTCTTCACTGGGACAAGTTTATACTCCTGAATCTGACTTCTGAAAATGAGCAGAGGCCATTCTCAGTGTGTTTAATGTCTTTATACTGCTTTCCTTTCAGTCTGGACCAGTTCTTTACTTACTGTCATCTCCTTTTATCACTGCAGGTAAAATGAGCAAAAAAATCAATCATAATATTGCTCTCCACTAGTTATGTACTTCCAGACCAAGCTTTTCACTGTTGCATAAGAAAATTGTAGTCAACTTACTCTTTGTATACCTTAACCATTGCATTTTTTGAGATAAATTTACAAGATCAAAATCTATTTCTAAAATTTGTGCAGATAACAGCCATGTTTTCTTGTTCTCTCCAACAAGACACCCTGATTTCTTTATAACTTGTGTACCTTCAGTATTTTTTCTCTTCTACTTTGTGAAGTATCTGTCAGTTCATGGCATTAACTTCATGTTACTTTGTGAAAAGTGAGTGAAGGAATTCATTACTTTCTTTTGGCAATGTACCAACACAATATTACCCTTGTCATCTATACAGTCCTACTTCTGCTTCACTGGTTCCTTATTGATTATATATTTGAATGCTTCCTTTTTTTTTTTCTTCTCCGTACTGTGTCCTTTCTTGATCTTTGTTTTTTTCCATCATTTCTTTATAAAATTTACTAGAATGTCATCCTTCTGGAATTCTCAGAAGTTGCTGGGGGGCTTATTTCATTTTTGTGTCTGTGTTCTGATAAGTTTGTGTGAAATGCTTTCAGAGCCCAAAGAACATGCAAATCAAAAGCATTAAAATTTAAGATGTAATAAAAGACATGCTGCAAAATCAAAACTAATATTGAAATGTAAAACAATTAGGTGCCATCTGAGCATTTTGCAGCTTGATGGCCCTACTATTATTAAATGCAGATTGCTAATAGTGTATTAAGCATTGAGAAGATGTGTTATGTAAATACCGAGCATTGTGATTATTGTGAAATCTATACAAGGGCATGTTATGCAGTTATGTTTCTGTGGTACTGAGCCTGCACTTAAGGCTTATTATCCTGAGCACTTGCACAGGAAAATGTTCCATTTTAGAATAATCCTGAGGTACCCATTAGGAAAATGACTGGAAGAAACATAAGAGTGCTTAAGCCAAAAACTGAACACAGTGGTTTTTCTAAGTATATGTGAAAGGAGCAGAACAGAGATCTGCTCTGAAGACTTACAGCTAGGAGAAAAATACTGTATTCTGGTGGTAATGCCTATGGTAATGTCTACTGCTGCTGGTGGTAATGCCCACGGTGAGAATACCACTGCACTGGGTATCTCAGCTAGGTTGCTTCTCTTTGCGCTGGAAAGGAGCAAAAGGAAATCACATACAGAGAATCATAGGCTAACACAATAATTCTGGGTCAGCTGTAGGGCCAGACCAGGTTGCTCAGGAATTTATCCAATTGAGTCTCAAAAATCTCCAAGGATAGAGCTTGCACAGCCTCTCTGGGAAACCTGTTCTACTGCTTGACTATCCTCATGAGGAAAATACTTTTCCTTATAACCTGTTTGTCCCTCTCATGTTTTGACATATGCCTAGTGTCTCTCATCCTGTTACCACATGCCACTCTGAAAATCTTAGCTCTGTCTTGATGACCTCCCTGTAAGCACCAGGGGGCTGCTCTTAGTCGTCCCCAGAGGCACCCCTTCTCCAGGCTGAAAAAGCCCAGCTCCCCCAGCTTCTCCTCACCAGGCCAGGGCTCCAACCCAACCATCCTGGTAGCACTCCCCTCCACTTGCTCCATTTTGTGATCTTTCCTGTAGTGCAGGGACCAAAACTGAAGGCAGTATCTAGCTACAGGCTAACGAGTGGCAGCTCTTGGAGAATACTCCTCCCCTGCATCTCCTGGCTCTGCTCTTGCTCGTACAGCCAGGGATGCTGTTGACCTCTTTTCTGCCAGGACACAGGACTGGCTCATGCCCAGCTTGCTGTCCACTGGGAGCCTCAAGCGCTTTTCCACAGAGCTGCTGCCAGGCTGTCAGTGCCCAGCCTGTGCTATTGAAAGGGGCTAGCCTGTGCCAGGGGCAGGACTTACTGTTTCTCCCTGTTGAACATCATAAAATTCTTGTCAGCCCCTTCCTCCAGCCTAGCCAGGATGGCAGTCCTGCCCTCGAGTGTATGGACTCGCCCTCACAGTGAAGTGTCATCTGCAAACGTGATGAGAGCGCACTCCTCACCTCTTCCAGGTCATTGTTAATGATGGTCAGGAAGAGCTGAAAAACTGTTTCAGTTATTACCTCTCAGATAATTACTTTCTTTTTTCTGATACCGTCGTCTCAGTTTGGAATAGTTTCTCTACAGAATGAATAAATGAGAAATCAGTATAAAACTGCGTGGTTTTACTAGTCCAAAACAACACTAATAGCTAGAAGCATGGTATTCTTCAGTGAAAACTCTAAAAACATTAGGCTTTGAAAAAAATTTAAGCTAATATTTATCTCTTAATATACGTACTAGCTTTTCAGAAATTTTTCTCCTATGCCAAAATACCCTTGCATGTTTGGGCCATACCCTGTTGCTTCTTGGCCCATGTAGTCAGAGAGATCAGAGTTTTGTGGGGTTATTTAAGCTTATAGAAAAAGTGATGTTACTCAAATACCAAGAGATTTAATTTGATTCTGTTTTCTTGCTGAAAACAGAAGGAAGAAACAGGACTTACTTTCCTTTTCAGAAATTTAGGCTTGCTTTCTACCCAGTTCTGTACTGAAAAAAGCATGATATTGTTTGGTGGTTTCGTAGGGCTGCAATGGGGTTGTGATTGCACAGTCGTTGATATGTTCCTTACGGGATCCCCTACCAGTATCTGTTTCTTTCAGATTGTATATGGATGCAGGATCATGTTTGTGTTAAAGTAATCAAGGCATATCATTTAAGATGCACCTAGATTAGCATTTGGTTCTGATCAGAAGTGCTCTTTTAAAGTGATTTTGGCTGCCTTGTGGGATGGTCTTTTAGAAAACAAATTGGATTTTTTTAAATGAAACTGGAACAGAAAATGTGGTCCAGGAGCATTCCTAATTAGCATTGCATTGCAGCTGCAAACAGGCATTTTAGTCAGTAGACTAGATGTACTGTTAACTAACCCCCTTAAAAGATGTGGTGTGGATATAGTGTGGATGTCGTATCATCCAGACCCTCTGTTGCTGGGGATCGCTCCTAGGGCAGACATTCTTTGCTCAGGTATTTGCACCCACAGATCCAGAGTTTCACTGCTGTGCCAGTTGATGAAGTACAGGCATTACCCAGTTAGACTTAAAGGAAGAAAACAGTGTGAACAGATAGTACCTGATAGGCTGTACTGGCTGACTAGCACAAAGGAAACACACTAGAAAAAATATATTCTGAGGTGAGGAGTGAACTAGTGCTGAACCAACTCAGGGGCTTCGGTGGCTGCATCCCTTCTGATGCAGCGCTGGGCTCTGAGCCAGATTTACACTGTCATTGA